TGGATGCGCTGGGAAGTGACCACATTGCCCACCCAGGACAAGACCTGCAGAGCTTGTGACCTTCCACCATGGAGGGTCAGAGTCATGCCCCCCCTGTACACAGCTGCTTAACCCCCTTTCCGCTTAGGATTTAATCTTCCCAACCTGAATGTCCTCCCCATTGAGGTCCCTCCCTTGGGTCCTGTTCCCAGAGGGACCCAAACGAGCTGACCCACCCCCAGCCGTCGCTCAGGATGCTCAGAGGAGGGTCAGTGCCGGCAGCATGGGGACCCTGCCCGGGGTGGGGGGACAGTGCTGGCTTGCAGGGTCACTCCCCCTTCAGAGGCCATTCCCGGGTGCGGGAGGACACCCACGCACGGCAGCGGGGCTTGGCGCGGAAATGACCTGACCCGGCACACAGCCCGGCCAGGGCTGTGCTAGTGTGGAGCGGAGCCAAGACAAGGCAGGATGGTGTCACTTCAGGACACGGCGCTGGCCTCCTCCGCTCCCTGGGAAGGGTGGGATGGTGGTTCGGGTTTTTTTTTCCTTTTTTCTTTCCTTTTTCCATCTTGGCCATTTGGAAGTGCAGGGAAGAGCTGAACCCTGCTCCCCTCCGTAACAAGACCACCGCTGGGATCAGCAGCACGGCTAGGAAGAGGGCCAGAGGTCTTGTGCAGAAGGTTTGAGCCATGTGTCCCTCGAGCCTGGGGTGTTCCTGGCTGTGTGTTCGTTCCTGTGTGTTTATTCTGGTGGGGTTCGAGCTCCCACCTGTGTCAGGTGCTGGGGTACCAGGTGTGAGCAATCCTGCCAGCCCTCACGCCTGTGCTGCCAGTCGTTTGGTACCTTGTTTGGCTGCTTGGTTTAAATCTCCAGCTTCTGGAGTTGGGTGACTGAGGGCAGTTCCCAGTGTCCTTGTTAACCAGAGGCTGAGCTGCTTCTGGCTGCAGGGGCAGCAGGTCCCAGGGCTGCTGAGGGATGCAGGTGGCACTGCGGGAAGACAAGCGGTGGGGTACAGCTCTTTGCAGGTAGGACACTGTTTGCTTGTGCAGGCACAGTTTGAGTGGGACCAGCACTCTGGTGCTTGTTGTGACAGCACCTTCAGCTAGTGCAAAAGGCTTTGGAGTGGCTGTGTTGCCCTGGGGATGGGATGGGATGGAAGGGATGGGAGGGATGGAAGCCCATTCATGTAGAGGTCTGACCTGAAGAGGTCTTAAGACCAGTAAATCCCAGAAATTGGCTTAACTGGGCACTTGAGGGTCTCTTAAAGAAATCTCCGTGTTGTCTCCTGAGCATTCCCTGGATCTCATTCTCCCACAGCTTTGACAGGCGGGGTCAGGCCGGTCTGGAGGAGCCAGCCGTGGCTGGAGGGCCCCTGCACCTGCAGCTCGGTGTTTTGGAGCCGAGGTTAAGCCAGGTGCTAGCTGGAGCCCTCGGCTGGGCTGAGCTCAGCCCTCCTGGCTGCTCCGAAGCCTTCCTCCCACGCAGGCATCCCGAGGTGCTGGCTGCACAGCCGCTGTCCTGGGAGCCAGGCACAGCTGTGAGCAGCCTCTCCCCGCACCGGGCACCCTCACCAGTCCAGGGGCCGCAGTTGGGATGCTGGGGGTGTGACTCAGGATGATTTCTTATCCCTTCTCTTCTCTGCGTTGCCACGTGCAATTCTGTGTTGTCCTGTTCCCTGGTGCTTGTGGGAAGCTCTCCCCAGACCCTTCCATCCCCCTGGGTTGGGCTGCAGCAGTCGGGAGGGTCCGTCAGTCCATCCTGGCAGTGCCCAAGGGACATGGGAGCAGAGGCTGGCAAGGGATGTGGGAGCAGAGGCTGGCACAGACCTGGCCCTAGGGAGCAGTGCAGCCTCGGAGCTCACATCCTCAGCCACAGCAGGGATGTGCAGGGGGTGTCAGGGAGGAAAAGGCCACTGATCCAGGGCTGGAGCAGATGGGAGCTCTGCTTGTGCCTTCTCCAGGCTATAAGGAATACAAAAGGACATTTTCTTGCACTTCCCAGCTGCTGCTGCAGGGCTGGTGCCGCTGTAGCTGCAGCAATAGATGTCCTGGCAGAAGCAGGCAAAGGCAGAGGGTTGTGGCTAAGCCCATCCAGGAGCAGCTGGTAGCAACCCTGCAGTGATGTGTCTTTGATCTGTTGCAGCAAGACCTGTCCTTTGCACCCTGGGAAAGTAAAACAGGGTGCTGGGGAAAGGGGAAGCATTGCACCCAAGCTCCTGTATGCCCACACCAGCAGCTCCCAGCAACCCTGGAGGCACCATCCCCTGTCCCCCCCGCAGTGCTGGCAACTGCTTTCCTACAGCAGAGGGCTCCGGGCTGGGGGCAAACAGCTTGTGCAGAGTTAACGTCCCCCCACAACCCCTTCCCTGCTGTTTGGCAGTGATGGAGGATGTGCTGGGGGCTGGATTTGGATGGGGCAGAGGTGCTGGGGGAATTTGGGCATCCTCGGTAGCTCGAGGGCTCCTAACGTTACCGAGGGGTGAGGAAGGAGCCAAGTGACCATCTGCTGGGACCACGTCTCTCGATGCCTGCATTCCCAATACCAGGGCTCCTACATACTTTCTCCAAGACCACAGCGGAGCTGCAAAGCACTTCCTTTTACCAGGGTATTTATTACTAAATATATGAATCTGGGAGCCTGTGGAGCGTGAAATTAGGAACAAATGTATAAAGGAGGTCTAGACAGGAATTGTTCTGCTTATGGGCCTCCGCGTGCTCTGCTTTTCTCCCCCTTTGCTCACTGGAGAGTTTAATGCTTCCAGGTACGCGGCTTTAATCAGACAAGTATGTTACGGGGGGAAAAAAGAGCAAAATGCAAATGGTCCTGCTCTGGATGGAGCAGTGGCTGCGATGCCATGTCTGGCTGACCGTGGCTGGACAGAAACCATGAAAATTGGCTCTGTGTGACCCTGCCATGTCCCCCCGCGGACCATTTAATTAACCGATGAGGAAGCTGCTGAGCCCTCCCTGCCCGACCCCTGCCTGCCACCTTTCCTCTCGGGATGGCAAGGAGCTCACGAAGATGCTGATCCTCTCTGATGGGTGCAGAGCCCATCCCTGGGAGGCTGCAGGGCTGAGTCCGGCCACCCCAGAGCCAGCTCCTGTGTCTGCCCCGCACACCCCTGCCCCGCACACCCCTGCCCTGGGCTCCCTGGCAGCAAGGTGGGTGCAAATGGGAGCAGCAAAGGACCCACGGACGGGCATTTCCAACCGGCTCTGCTGCACCGATGCATGCTCCCGGTGCAGCCTGAGGGTCTCCATCCCTCTTTAAACAGGAGTCAAAGTCTCTAAATCACTAATGCATTTTTTAGCAAACCCTTCCCCTGACTGTATTTCTCCCCCCGAGCCTCCTCAGAGCATTTTACCCAAGGAATGAGGGCAGGATTTGGCCTGGTGCTTGTCCTGCGGCCGCGCGGTGAGAGAAGGCGTTCAGACGTCGTTATAAATTACCTTCCCTCCTACAGCGCTGCTCAGCAGCGACATAAAATGTGATACTGCTTTATCCATTCAGCACTTACCCAACTTTAGCAGGACATTAAGCGCCTGAAAATATGCCACAGATTTATTTTCTTTGGAAGCGGGTTAAATCCCTGACAGATACAGTTGCTTTTCCTCGGGTGCTGAAGTAATTTGGGGCTGGGGTGGCTGGTTTTTGGGTTGAACCTGATAGCATGAGCTGGAGGCCAGCTTTGTTAAAGTGCTTGTAGAGTAGGTGCTCAGGGTACGATTTCTCTCTTAATTTATGTCGCTTCTGCTGTTCCCAGCCCAATGCTTGTGGCACTAAAGCGCTGCTGGAGCTTTAGCTGCGGAGCGATGCTGGTGTTTGTGCCGCTGCTGGCAGATATGTGCAGGCAGGGATGCATCTCCCCGGCATCCTTCCTGTGGCAAAGGGCTTGATCTTATTCTGGGATGGAAATTCTAGCCCTCCCATGAGCTCTCAGGGCGTGGATGCTCAGAGCAGGACCGGTGCTGGCATCGTGGGGTTCGTGCACTGTGCATGATGCAAGAAGCAGGGACCTTCCACCACTACTGGCTCCGTGTCAGCACCCAGGTTCCTCTAAGGGGCACTCCAGGCAAAGAAGGGTGCTGGTGGCACCCTAAAATGCAAGCGTGGGGCCAAGCTGAGCCACAGCATCTCTGATGCCCTGCATGCTTGGTCCCAACTGCAGTGTTGGGTGTGGTGGGAATGAACAACTCACCTGAGGCTGTCAGAAGCATCATCCTGGGGTAAACCCCCCAAAGCTTGGCCACAGTGAAGGCAAGGAGCTCGGTGCCTCCTGCAGCAGGCTGACGCATCCTGTACCCCAGCCCGCTGCTCGGGGAGGGGAGAGCGCCTGTCCTTGCAGTCATTAAAGGCTCACTTAGCAGCTCCAGTTATTCCAAATTAAAATACCACATTGTTTTCATGGGGAAAATGGATTATAGGCTCAGAGAAAAATGTGTACAGCTCCAAAAATCCTCCCTGCAAAGCTCCTTCTCCCATCACTGAAGCTCTCCGGCACCAGGAGGGTTTCTGGGGTGCCGTGGGTGCTCAGCAGAAGGTTTTACTTCCCTTGTGTCCCCCTTCCCCATGCAAAACAGCCCAGTGTGACCCCAGAGCTCACAAAATCTCTCACCCACTGGATGAAGCTTTTTTTATTCCCTTGCACATGCAGGGTGGCATTTAGGGGGGGATGGGGACTCCCTGCTGGCTTTTACAGGTGCCCAGTGCCTGGATCAGCACCAATCCTGCCCATCACCTCCTGCAAATCCCTCCTGGTTTGTAACCACCTGCAAACGGGGGTGAGCCGGGGGTTTGGGGACTTGCTGCCTGATGCATTGCCCAGCACCAGCCTCCCCCCGGCCCCCACCGCACCCCCCGTCACCCTGTG